GATCGCGGGAGCCCAGCAGGTGAGGTTGCGGCGGCCGGAAGCGGCCACTGCACTCCAGTCTGGGCGACAGAGTGAGACTCCAACTCAAAACAAAAAAAAAAAAAAAAAAAAAAAAATGTGGTAAACTTTATAAATACTTGAATATATCCATTCCTAAAGAGATATCTACTGAAACAGCAATTTGTTCATCAAAGTTTTAATGGACCAATAACTATCTAAATGCTGAAAGGATTAAGATGATTAGGACATACTAATACATATATAGTGTCAGGGAGTGTTGAATATTATGCAGAAAGATGCAGCAGGAAAAGATGTTGAAGTGTATGCATGTGTGTGCACGCATAATGTGCGCGTGCACACACGCATTAAGTAATAGGACCTATTGAAGCTAAGGAGTTTTGGGGGAATAGTGTCAGGCTGGGGTAAAGCACTTGCAAACTCTTCAAGAAAGGAAGGATTTTGGTTTGTTTGAGAAATAGTAAGATGATGAGTGTGGCTACAGCAAAATACTGAAGAGGAAAGTGTTAGGAGATGAGGTCTGAGGGAGAATAGGGTTCTAGTCATGGAATGCCTTGTACACCATGATAAAGAATGAAGTCTGATTGTTAAGGGAAGCAACTTGAGGAGTAAGGGCTGTGGACAGTCCTTCTGTCAGCTATGTGGAGAACTGACCGCAGGGATCAGGACTAGATGTAGGAAATTGGGAGTTGATCATAGTAGTTTGGATGAGAGGTGATGGTGGCTTGGGCAAGAATGAAGGCAATGGAGGTGGTGATAAGTAATCATGTTTGGGATGTATTTTGAATGTTGAGCTGGCTGGTGGGAAGAAGAAAATAATAACAAATGATTTAAATGGAGAGGGATGGGGTTGTTGAGAAAGGAAGAAAGGAGTCTATATCAAAGTTTTTGTTCTCAGCAACTGGCTAAAAAATAGTGGTCATGTACTCATACGGAATAGACTGGGGATGAGTAAACTGGGAGAATTAAAAATCCTGTTTGGACAGGTTAAGTTTGAGATGCCTGTTAGATATTCAAATGGGCACTGGGATATGTAAGTCTGAATCTCAGGAAGTTTTGGGGGGTGAAGATAGAAAGGTGTGTGTTATTAGTATGTGAATGATATTTAAAGCTATGAAACTAGATGATATAATCAATCAGGGCACAAGTGTAAATAAAGAGGAGGACCCCAGGACTAAGCACTTAGGCAGGGAAGAGATAGAGGAAGTGGCAGAGGAGATGGAGAGAGATTGGCTGGTGAGTGGAATAAAAACCACAATATGGTGTCCCAGAAATCATGCCAAGATTCTGTTTTAAAACAGAATAATAAAGCATAAAAACAAGTTGCCAAAAGATCAAGATGAGAACTAACAACTGACCCTGGATTTGGCAAGCCATGACCCTTTTCTTTAAGGAGCACACAGCACAGCGGAGGCTGGACAATAAGGAAACACGTAAATTGCTATACAGTGGTGGAAGATGTGTTCTAGAGATGCAAACAAATATGGAGAGTTGGACTGAAGATGGGGCAAGAAATTTTTCTTGGGGAATCAAGGAAAACTACAAGAAAGAGTTGTGCTTTTGAATTCTGGTAAGTAGGAAGAAGGAATAAACCAGGACTCATAAAACTAAAAAAAATTTTTTTTCTAGTTGGTTGTTGATTTTTTTGCAATCTCTCATGCAAAACTATTTCTTCTCCCAAGTTAACATTCCACTACTATTACTCCATGTAGACATATTGTCAATTATCAATATACATAGTAACTATCTTAAAAGGACAAAACATACCATTTATCACACCCTATTCTCCTGGAGGATGCTCTTGGAATTATATATTTCATTGTTGTTGTCTTTAGTTCTTAGTTACATTTTAGTTCCCTTTTGTATCTTGTGCAGATGTAGAGATCTAGGAACTGGATATTGGATCCAAATGGACAAGAAGGCGTTTAGTTCTTTTACCATTGATTATAGATTCCCATGTGACTACCTAAGAATTTATGTTCCACCAGATCACATATGAGAGGGTGGTGGTAAAAGGAGCTCAAGCTTTTGGGGCAGAGAAGATCTTTCTGCTTATAGAAATGATCACTTCAGTACCACCCTAGACGTATGAGAGGGAACTAAAAAAAAATCCATAATTTATTTATAAAAAATTGTGTATTTATTCTTATATGTTTGAACTTTAGTCATCTTCAAAATACTCTGTTTGATGCAAGACATCAATAAGATGCTGTTTCTATTGCTTGAAACAGTTTTGGAACTCATCAGTTCTGATGCCTTTTAGTGCTCCTGCCATTTGTTGCTTCACTCTTCTGCATTGGCAAAACATCTCCCTTTGAGGACTTTTTTTCATCCAGAGAAACAAAGAAAAGTTGCTCAGGGCGAGATTGGGTGAATATAGAGGGTGAGGCATGGAGGTCATGCCATCTTTTGTTGAAAAGTGCTAAATGCTCAGCACTGTGTGGGCAGGTGCGCTCATAAATCGCCCATCATGAAATGGGCAAAAATGCTAAAAGAATCTCCCCTCCAAACACTTACTGAAGCTGAATGCAACAATGCTAGCTGGTACACTGATGCCAGTGGGTTCTTTGCATACTTACCTAGTGGGGAAGCCTGTACTACAAGGGGCCTACTCTCCAAAAAATAATTCTGTTTGTTTTTTTTTGTTTTTTTTTTGATATCTCTCATATGTGGCTCATGTTCTTTTACTTTACTTTTCAGTTCTTTTACTTTTACTTTTCACATGAGATGATTACATACTTAAAGAGGTAAACCGAAGCAACAGTGTAAATCAAAGCAACATGTTTAGCAATACTTACTATGTATTAAGTATTGCTCTAAGTACAGTGGCTGTGATTTCTTGGGCTAAAATAGTACACTAGCCAAAATCTTTTGGATGTTTTTATGCTCAAACAATAGTAAATATGTACCTAATTGTAATATAAAATAATTTGAGTCTAGTGGAGTTTAGACTCCAGTGGTTCAGCCTTTGTGGCTTTATCTCTCAAGATAGTTTTATCTTTTTTCTTCCTAATACCATATTGTAGTTAGTTTACCCAATAGATGGGGATTTGAATATAGAATTTTCATAAGCATTTGATGCTTCTCTCTTTGGTAGATTTTGGGTTCCATCTCTGATCTCAAGTTTTTGAAATAAGGTACTGACCACTTTTCCTTTCTTGAAAGAAAGAAGGTGTAGAATAAATAACTTTTGCTGAGATGTTTTCAGGACAAGAATCTGAATAACTTTCTCAAGGCACAGACCTACAAATTTTATAGTTTTTTTTTTTTTTCTCAAGACGAAAGTCAACCTGTTCTTTTTATTCTGTTCTCATTAAAATGTTCTCTGGGCATAGTCAATATATTTTCAAAAAAAGCTTAAGGAAGCCAGCATTAAAATTTGCTCTTAATTCTACCAATACAGAAAAACCTGCTGGGAAATGGATACTATATTCACTGTGGTTTTCTCCCTGTCTGCTGTGGAATATTGTAATAAATCATGTAAATGTAGGAGGAAGTGGGGGCTTGGGTGATGGGCTAGTTCCTTTAGGAGAATTTCAAATGGCCACACAGCAGAGCAGACACTCACACTGGTTTCCTGTGGGCCATTTCCCCTCTGCTGAACCTGACTCAAAACCAATGTGAAGGAAGAGAAATTTGCCTCTTACAAAATCTCAAATCTCTGATAACTCACCATGCTGATTACTGTGTTCAAAAAAGTTATAAAACTCAGGGTGCTGTAAACTTGAAGAACTCCATGAATTTGTATTTGACAAACTTAACAAGACTTGTTTTGGAAATTAAGAGAAAAGGAGTCAAAATGGAAAACTGTAGATAATGCTATCACACTGACACGTACGCCTATGAACTTTAGAACACTGAAAAAAAAAATAAAAATAAAGGGCCGCTGAAATAATTAATCATAACTGTCATGGTTTAGACTATTTTATGCCCATTTTGTCTTTTTGGGATATACTTTAAGATGATCATATTTTATTTATATTTTTACCTTTAAAAACATTAATTAGACATGTTTCTTTTAATTCAAAATATAGATTGCCTAATAGATATTTAAAACTTTCCCTCCCCATCTACAACCTCAGGAAAATAAAAGCATGGTAGTATGGCACTGACAAAAAAAAAATGTGAAAAGTGGTAAGAACATTTCTTTTACACAGTTGTGTTTCTAGTTATTTTTTTTGTAGAAAAGAATTGTGATGCAATTATAATGGATTAAAACAAAGTTCATAGTAGTAAGCTAATGATTCTTTAGGCAAATGTTGAGTAAAATCCCTGGTCCCCAAATCAAGAGGGAGTTCAGTCCGGTTTTACCCATTTGCTTTAAGAGGGGGGAAAGGTGTGACAACACAAATTGATGCCCAAATTGTTTTCCCAACAATTCCAGCCAGGTCCTTGGCGGTAGGTGCCCTGGTTACCTCCGGGGCCGGTACCCAACACTGACATTAGAAACAAGCCGGGTCCCTCTGAACTTGAGGTGTCACCTCCCCGGATGCGGAGGGAGTTTCCCGCTTTTTCTTACCTGCATAGTGGTCAAACACAGTGGGCACGTACTCCTCGGGGAAGGCGTCGTTGGCGTAGCTCATCAGCAAGCAGGTTTTCCCCACGGCGCCGTCCCCAACCACCACACACTTCAACATCTTCTTCTCGTCGCTGCCACCGCAGCCACAGCTGCGGTCAGGTCCCTCTTTGCAGTTCATGCTGGTGGCTCCAGCTGCTGGGACTCCTGCTGCTGCTGCTGCTGCTGCTGTTGCCGCCGCTGCTGCTGCTGCCGGGGCTGCTGCCTCTCCTGCTTCTCCCAAAGCACATGAAGCGGCGGGAAGGAGTGCCAGGCTTCAGTTCACTCTGCCTTGCTTTAGGCACCTCGCATCAGACGGACATTTCCGAGGCTGGGGCATACCCTGTTGCTCACCATACTGGTCAAGAAAGCTAACACACACTCTGGGGGATGATGAAAAGGGTCTGACTCTTTCCCCTCTCGCTTTGAGTTAAGAAAGCCTCATTTTCACAGAATCCTAGGGACTTCCTGGCTATCTAGAGATTTCAGCAGCCTGAGGGTCTCGCTCTGCTCTCCCGGCTCTCCAGCTTGGCACAAGACACGGCGGAATTTTGCTAAATCGTCCCCGTTTTCCAATTCCCAGCTAACATGGAGGAAAGCTGGGCTGTTTAATGGAGTTTCCCCCCCCCTTGCTTCCTCCAGCTAGCCGAGTGTCAGGAAATCATGGGTTTCCTGCTGCATTCCATATTAGGATCAGTGGGCTGGGGAAGGCTGCAACAATGGGAGCTCTGTGTGTGTGTGTTTGTACTTCTGGGGAACGATGCCAGGACCTGGAGTGGGAAAACACTAGGGGTCCCACTGCAGACTCAAGCTGTCAGACTTCCTGTTTCATCTGCTGCTTGTGACGCTGCTTGCTAGTGGCTGGCTGGGAAGAAACTGAGGAGAGGATGGAAACTGGGGCGTACTGTCTGCCACAGAAACAGAGGGAATGGTTAGGGTGAGCAGAGAGAACTACACCAGCAGTTGTGGGATAACACATGACATCATCCTTCACTGAGTCACCCGTTAAAAGCTCTGCAAAGGAAAAAAAAAAAGAAAGAAAAAAAAAAAAGAACAGTTCTTGACTTACTTAAATGAGAAACTTTAAGCAATCCCTCCCTGCAATAAAGGAGAAAACCTTCCAGGGTTACATTGTTTCCAAGAGAAAAATTTGTGTAGGTCACAGGTATAATTTGTGTGATCAGGTTTATAAGCTGCCACATTCGAGCATAACAAATATGTACTCCAGACGCAAACTTTTTTTTATGGTTGTGGCACATAAGAAATCAATCAGATGTGGGACATTTGCATTCTCTTATTAGTGAATAAACACACATATGCTTGGCTCGTACCTAACTCCCTTTGAAATGAGAAGGTGTAGGGCAGCGTTTTGGTTTGTTAAAATTCCTGATGCTATTTTTCCCTTTTGATTGTGTCCTCTTTTCTTGGGTCAGTCTGGCCCTCTTCAATTACAAAGGAGGCGTTGGCAGCTAATTTATTTGTCTTCTGGATCACTCAAAATGAAGCCCCTTTGAAGCTCTGTATTTGATTAATGTGCTGGGGTTCAGAAAAGAAATAGAACTCTGCAAATGATTTTTGACAAATGGGTCAAAACGTGGGGGACTCCTTTTTTAAAAAATTTTTCTTTTGTTTTTTAATGTTGATTTTGAATAATTCAGATGATCTAATTGCTTTGAGAGGTTGTTTTTCTTTTTGTGGAGGGAAGGTGGAACAGAAGTCTATTTTACTAAGTGGCTATTAATAACATATGCAGGGAGGAGTCCAAAAAGTCCAGAATTATCTTTTGGAGGGTTGGCCCTTTGTAGTCCACTCAGAATTTGTTTCTCTGGATCAAACTGCCCACCAAATTTTTATTTGGGAATTTTGAGAAAGTTGTACATGATTTGCAGAAGAAATGTCCCAAGTTGTGACAAACAGGTGACTGGTTCTTCCACCATGACAGCACACCTGCTCATACTATGCTGAGTGTTCAGCAGTTTTTGACCAAAAAACGGCATGCTCCACTCTCCCTAGTCCCCTGATCTCGTCTCAAGTGACTGTTTTTGTTTGTTTGTTTCCCCAGATGAAAAAGGTCCAGAAAGGGAAATATTTTGCTGATGTTGAAGAAGGGAAACAGAAAACGGCAGAAGCTCTAAAAGGCAACAAAATGGATGAATTAAAAAACTTGAGCAGTGGGAAAAGCATCTTAATAGGCGTATTGCATCAAATGGAGAGTACTTTGAAGGTGGCTGAAGTTTAAACTTGTAAGAATACACAATTTTTTATAAACAAATTCTTGGTTTTTTGAGGTCCTGCCTTGTATACTCACATATCATATATATGCCACCATATAATACATATAGTCTCAAATTTCTTCTGTTTTGGATTACAGTAACATTTTACCATAGTGTTTAGTGTTCAGCCATTTCTTTCCTATAAGGGGATGGTGTTTTAGATGGGTTATGGTGAATCAGCTATGTTATGTCGCAGTAACGAACAACCTTCAAGGCACAATGATTTCAAATAGCATATGTATTTCTTGCTATCATTATATCTCTATTGTGAATTGTTGTTGTCTTTATTCAGGGATCTAGGATGAGAGGGTGGTCACATTGAGAACATTGATGATGACTGTGGCAGAAGAAGAAATAAATGTGGTGAAGAGGCATTGATTCTTTTTTTTTGAGTTGGAGTCTCACTCTGTCGCCCCAACTGGAGTGCAGTGGCACGTTCCCGGCCACCGCAGCCTCCACCTGCTGGGCTCCGATGATCCTTCCGCCTCAGCCTTCCAAGTAGCTGGAACTACAGGCGTGCACTACCACACCGGCTAACTTTTTGACTTATTGTAGAGATGAGGTCTTGCCAAGTTGCCCAGGCAGGTCTCAAACCCGCAGGCTCAGGCAATCCACTCACCTCAGCCTCCCAAAGGCGCAGGATTACAGGCTGAGACACTGAGCCTGGCTGAGGCATTGATTCTTAAGGCTTCCTCCTGGAAGTTAACTTCTGTTCATATTTGTTGGCCAAAGAAAGTTATGTGCCCATACTGGATTCAATAGGAAGATCAAAAGTGGCCGGGCACAGTGGCTCATACCTGTAATCCAAGCATTTTGGAGGCCATGGTGGGAGGATTGCTTGAGATCAAGAGCTGAAGGCCAGCCTGGGTAATATAACAAGACTTTGTCTCTACAAAAAAAAAAAAAAAATTAGTTGGGCATGTTATTACATGCTTGTAGTCCCAGCTGCTTGGGAGGCTGAGGCAGAATGATCGCCTGAGCCCAGGAGGCTGCAGTGAACTATGATCGTGTCACTACACTACAGCCTGGGTGACAGGGAAACTCTGACTCAAAAACAATATAAAACAAACAAAAAGTCAAAAAAAATATAATAAAGGTATAATCCTTCATGTGTCAGGAAAAAGAGAACCAAACATTGGTGAATGGCCTGAATAACAACCGAGGACGGTTTAGTTGAGGTTATATTTGCAATACAAAAATTGAATTGATTATGTTTAGTGTTATTCTGAAGCTTTGAAGACATCTATAACTACAAGTGATTTATATAATTTTATTCTCATTTAGGCTACCTAGAACACCTAGAATATGTGCTGATAAAATTGCAACTTGAAAACTTCTAGAGAAAGGACTTGTATATGAAGGTAGCAGTCAAATTAATCTGTACAGGTGAAAAAGTAGTTGGCAATGTCAAGAATTTCACCCTGACGATCACTTTGAGCATAGAGGGCACAATGTGACATGTGTTTGGCAGAACTTTGAAGGACTTCTTCCTTTGACCTTGTCCCCGAGATTGGACAGTAAATGTGGCCATTTACCACATTTACCCATTCATGGAGTTCTTAAACATGCCCGGTCAACCAAAAGCCTATATTCCTGCACTACAAACGCCCTGGCCCACTTAGTCCTTGGCATAAGAGAAAACTGAGAGATTGAATTGAGGTGAAGTTTAGCTACAACCATGTATAACCTAAACCATGTACCATCAGACACAGATATTTAAGATTGATCTGATTGGTATGTGGGCCTTGAATTGAAACAAAGAATTGTCACTCAAAGGATTGTCACATTTGCCAGACTGGGCTATACGCAAAGATGCATTATGACCATTGAGAATATCAGCTATATTTCTCAAAATAAACTTGTTTCATCCCTGTTTACTACCCCTCAAAATAAATATTTAAGGAGAAAAAAATTAAAGACATCCTATTAAAACTGGCAAAAAAGTAAAAATTTTACTGTCTCAACCTGATGATTATATGTATCATGCTGTCCATGTGACAATAAACCTTTCTAAATATTAAAAAAAGACCTGAACCAGAATAAAAAATGAAGACAATTCAGCATTGTTCTTATAGGTCCACGAGTCCACAGAAGTATGATTACCTGCCTAGGTAAAATGGCAAGAATATACTTTAATTCCAAAGGTTTATAGATATAAATTTAGAAGTAGTATGAAGACTGCTTGCTACAATATTCTTTACCAGATGCCTGTGCTTTTGGATCTTGGGCCGTGTAAATGATTGAGTGGTGGTTACGTAGCCATAAATTATTTGGTTTACCTCAAGCACCAAGTTTACACAAACTTACCAGTACGTGGTGAAATCTTGTTGGGTGATATTTTCTGCTTTTTCCAAGAGATTTTAATTCCTTGGTTTTCTCTTGTCCTCTGAGCTTTGGCTTCACATGAATTTCCCCAAATGCCAGCAGGGCATTTTTGCGTAATGTTCTGGCTCCTCTGATTGCTGCCGGTTTTATTGCGACTTTAATGAAGGAGCCAAGTCTTCTCTTCCCTGTCCTTGTGTGTGTGTTTGTGTGTGTGTGTGTGTGTGTGTGTGTGTGTGCTTGAAACTAGAAGTTATGCAGGAAAGTAATGCAAGTGGATCAGATGCTCTGATTCTGGATTAGCCCCTATGTTGGAGTTTTTTTTTTTTGTCTCCGGTTTTAGGAATGTGAGATGTGCTGTGATTCCAAGGATTCCAGGATGCTCAGTTTAGTCATGAGTTCACCTCCTCTCCAGAGAAGGCCCTTTCTGGAGTTCATGCGGAAATCTGGCTTCTACTAGTGTTGAGTATGATGGTCAGGAGGGGCTATGTAGATCTAGGGTTTCTGACCCAAATCTCCCAGTGGCCATAACTTCAAGATCTGCTTGGACAGTACTACAACAGAACAGGATGTCCTAGGTCTGGTCTGGTGCCTCCCCAAGGAGAAGGGTGAGTTATCATCATCAGGGATACTCACATATCTGCATTTTAAAAAAAATCTGTGAGGCCACCTGCACTCAGTCTCTGGCTATTGCCCCTATCATATATGCCATATATTATATATCACATTATGTCACATCATATCAGCTATTTTTTCTTGGACATGATCTTTTTATGATTTCAGAAATGGCTTTCTTTTTCTTGCTTGGAGAATTTCTATTTCTTTCCCCAAATCTCTTAATTTTGAGAGAAGTAGATTACTTGCAAATCACAGGCAAATGAGACTTATTTCTGTCCTAAAAAAAAGAAGAGGATGATTTAACCAGCAATGATAAAGATGTCTGTGTGTGTGTGTGTGTGTGTGTGTATGTGTGTGTGTGTATGTATGTATGTGTGTATGTCGCAGTGTGTTTCTTCTGTGTTTCATTACTGAATACCTTAGCTCTGAATACAAAGTCTTATCTCAGAGGAAGAGAGTCCTGTCGGTTATCTTTTTATTTTTTGTATCCCTTTTTAGAAACCAGGAAATTAGAGACTTTCAAGTTCCCCTTATCCAGAAAATCTAGAGATAATGGTTTAGGAAGCACTTTCCCACTGATTCCTGGTCTTCCAGGAGAGGAATGTTTTGGAAGGTAGAAAAGTTTTATGTTGAGGTACTATCGAGTTGCTCCCCTGTCAAGGCCACGGTACAGGGAATAGCTTGTGGAAATAGCCATCTTGTAGTCAAACA